CAATAATCTTTTAGTGAGAGAAAACAACCCCAAAAATGTTCATCCATMGAAAAAGGAATTTTAGGGTTTCCCTTTCTCTCTTCTCTTTGCAAACTGTTGTTATTAAAGAGGTTGATTCTTGAAACATGTCATCATTTTATGGATTTTGATTCACTTTCACTTCAAAAGACCCCTTTCTTGGAAAATCTCAAACATGGCCGCACCGATCTTAGCCGGTGACTCAACCACCTTAACTCCAGCGTCCCTTAGGCTCTTTATCTTGTCTTGAGCTGTGCCCTTACCACCGGAAACAATGGCTTCATCGGTCCAAATAGAACAAGGCAAGATTCAATCCCAGGTCGAGAGAAAAACAGTGAACAACTGAGAGAGCTGAGTAAAGTTTAATTACCTCCCGCATGACCCATTCGACGCCCGGGTGGAGCAGTAAGTCCAGCAATGAAAGCAACTACAGGCTTGTCTGTACCACTTTCCTGTTTAATTGAAAACAGGCATGTTTTTGCTCTCAATCATCTAGAAATGGCAACTCTTGATTCTTTAGAAAGATGCATTGCAGTTACCTTTATCAAAGCAGCCGCATCTTCTTCTGCAGTACCACCGATTTCTCCAATGAGGATGATACCTGAGAAAACAATGCTTAGTTACGAAAAACAACGTTCAAGTCTTTCACTAATCTACAAAACAGAGCGAATTCGGTGAATCACCATCGATAAGCAGAAAAGAGAGGCTGTACTACTCACAAAAAAACTTGACTCTAATACTGCAAATGAATCACTTCTACATACTAAAGAACTAGTAGCCTTGGGATATTAGGTAAATATTGGTTATCTACTACATATTAAAGGTGTGTGGCTAAAAGGAAACCATGAATTTAGACAAAAGGGAAAAAATAATAAGACGTGTCAAATGAAATAGTTCAATTATGGTGTCGAGAAACTGAGACCTTCTGTTTGAGGGTCAACAAAGAACTTCTCCAAGCAGTCAACAAAATTAGTGCCGTTAAAAGGATCACCACCAATTCCTACACACGTAGATTGGCCCAAACCTACTGCAGTAGTTTGGAAGACCTGCATTATATATTAACCAAAAGGAACCATTAGAAGACCTGACATTAGCCTAACGATTGGAAAGAGTATCAATTCACATGTATTTAATTTTCTAACTTTTTGCTAAGTTAGCTGTATTTAGGGGAAAGATAAAGGACATGGTGAATATAAGTTGAGAAAGAATGAGACAAAGAGAGGCAGACATCAAAACAACATTCAATAAAAGAAGACCTTACAGCTTCATATGTCAATGTTCCAGATCGTGAAACAATCCCTATCCTCCCCGGCTTGTGGATGTATCCCGGCATGATCCCAATCTTGCATTCACCAGGTTTGATAATCCCAGGACAGTTAGGGCCAATCAATCTAGTTTTTGACTGACTGTTAAGAGCAGCCTTTACACGAACCTACATAACAAAAGCCAGAGAAATCAGTAATAGCCAGTTATATCAGTGTGCAAACCTTTAGAATAAGCATCAAAGCAGATATCGCAAAAGAAAAAGGGAAAAAGCATCGAAGCAGATATCGCAAAAAGAAAGGCGTTAACCTAAGATTGAAAAGAAAAACCGTAAACAACTATTACCATGTCATGTTGAGGAATTCCTTCAGTAATGCAGACAATAAGATCTAATTCAGCAGCCAAACCTTCCATGATAGCAGCAGCAGCGAAAGGCGCAGGAACGTAAATCACAGAGGCATTGGCTTTCGTCTCGGCTTTGGCTTCAGCAACGGTGTTAAAAACAGGGAGACCCAAATGTTCTGTTCCTCCCTTCTTCGGTGTCACTCCTGCTACCTATTAACAAACCAACACAAACTGAAATCAGCTTTATCACAAGCTTCAAAAGCAACGCCATATGGAAGATGACATCTTCGGTAAGAATCATTTCCAGGTCCAAAATGACTACAATCTATCCAGCAGAAACAAGAACATCCTCAATTGGCACAGTAACCAAACAATCCAATCCGAATTCTCCCAAAAAAGCAAAGCACAGGGATCACGAATTAGTACATTGGATTTATCTAAAAATGCAATACCATTTTGGTGCCGTATTCAATGGCTTGTTCAGTGTGGAAGGTTCCATTCTTTCCGGTAATACCCTGGCAGATGACACGTGTGTTTTTATCGACAAACACCGCCGCAGGAGGCGGAGGAGTCGTACCGAAGGAGCGAGACTGAGTCAACGAAGTGAGAGCGGAGGAGCATGACGGATACACCTCTGAGCTCCCGACGCCGGCGCCGGAACGGAGAACTTTGGACGAGAGAGATCCGAGAAGCCTCGTGGCCTGTCTAGACATTGTTTGTCTTCTTCGGCTTTCGATTTCTTAAACCTACGATCTGAAAATCTTGTTGTACTGAACCCTACGAGCAGCGAAATGGCAAAAGGAAATTTTCAGCGATCTTCGGTGGAGAATCAGAATCAGCCGTCCAAAGCGACGAAAAGCTTAATGGGCCTCGTTAGGGATCCATTTAACCCAAACGCATTTGGATTTTAGAATTTCTTCTAAAAAAAGCCCATACAAAATATTAACTATATTTAGGACAAAAATTGTTATTATTTTGGAATTATCTATTTTTTTTTATTAATTCTGGAAATTGATTCAACAATATTCCGGTAGTTCAGGTACCCGTTCGGATTCGATTCGGGTTTTTATCCTTTCAGGTTTGGTTCGGGTTTTCTGTTTTTCGGTACCAAACCTATAAGTCCCATTAGAGTTTATTTTTTCTTCGATTCAAGTTTGGATACCTAAATTATCCACAAATCCAAAAAATAATTATCCAAAAATATCCGAAAACATGTAAAATTATAGCCAAACAATCCGGTCTAAACTACCCAAATTACCTAAAAATATTCGAAAAATATTTGAATTAACCAATAAATCTAGAAAATATTCTCGCTCTCCAAAATTACCAAAATTACCCAAATGTTTAAGAAAATGCTTTATGCTTTTAGTTAGCTTCGGATGTTTTAGATACTAGTTCGGGGTTTAGGTTCGGTTATGATATTTCCCGAACTCGAAATACCTAATCCTTAGGTTCCATTTGAATATTTCTCTAGAATCGAACCCGGTCGGGTTTGAGTTTTTCGAATCAGGTTGGAATTCGTATTTCGGATTAAGGTAGTTTGCGCACCCCTAGTCTTTACGCCATGATTGATGATCCTCAGCCTTAAACTTTTCATTCTTATAAGTGGATAATATCATTTAAACCCTTTCTATTGCCACCAAACAACTTTTTTGTCGCTTTTATTCATTTTTTCTTCAAAATTAACATTTCTCGATATTAACGAAAAAAACCTCAAAATTATAACTCAATTTGGAACTTTCTGCCGAGTGAGATGGAAAAATAGCTTCCCCATAGTCAGTCCATAGATATTTTCAATAACTTGTCCTTCTCTAACTCATCCACCGTCCCTAACAGAGAAGAGGAGAAAATGTCACCGACGATTCTAACTCCGACGACTCTTCCTCCCTCGAAATGGCCAAGTACCACATCTCAAAAACTAACCACCGTCAGATCACCACTCAAGCTCAAGTGTAGAGCCACT